TGACTCTTTTCTATGATAGAGATGGACTCGTTGTGTCATATTATGAAAAAAAAAAAACTCAGATTTTCCGATGCTGATGCACGGATGCCCACCCAAACTGTCTTGTAGAGCCTGTAACTCACAGGGGAGATGTCGCTGCTGAATACTTCTTAAGGAATCGTAGAAACACAGTTAGCTTCCACTGACGCTATGGATTCTTTGTTGCTGTAGTGTTTCCCAGATTTGTGCAGGGGAGGAATTGTTGTGCGATGTGTGACTGAGAGTGAGTAGAATAAACTCATTCTGCCTCGTGCATATCTATGGTATGGATACAGTAGTCGTGTTGTTGTACCATGGTAGTTCTTGTTTGCGGCCTACGCCACTTGTTTATCGGGTGAGACTGCTCTGGTCATGCATTAACTTCACGAGAAGTAGACGACCGTCCTTCACACGGATGAAAGAGGGAGTGCTCAAAGAGCAGCTCCCACAGCAAGGAGGGGCCCCGTGAATCATCGCGGTGCCCGCCACCAAACGGAAATCTTCCCAATCTGCGTGACACCAAATCATACAGCACGTGTATCCAACACCAATGTTCGCAGACCCACGAACACCCTCCCTGGTTCTTCGCGCAAGTGACTAACCATCAAAGGGGCAAGAACGCCCCTTGATACATCAGAAAATACCAACACGGAAATATATGGAGGGGAAACCCGGCGTCCGGGCAAAACCCCTCGAAAAAAATCCCACCACCACAAAAACCGTCGCTATCACAGCAGATCACAACGGCCACACTTATTAGAAAGGTCAAGGTGAAGACAAGAACGCGAGGAACTACGTTCCACCGGGCGATGGTCTCCCAACGCCCCCTACTCCTGCCATTGGTACACAGAACGCAACAGTTATGCGCCTTTCCCCGCATGGAAAACGTGACCTCTCCCAAGTACTAGAAACTGCTACAGCTACTCCGGCAAATTCATCAACTTGCGCCGATGGTACTGCAGACTGGCCCTGCCAAGGGCCTTGGTCAGGAGGTCCGCGTGTTGCTCCGTTGTCGGAAAAAACTTGACCGAAATATCCCCCGACCTAAACAATCCGCGCATGAAATGAAATCTCGCGTCTATGTGTTTCGTGCGACCTGAGCTGAGGGGGTTCTGCACCAACGCTATGGCCCCGTGGTTGTCCTCAAGNCAAGGGCCTTGGTCAGGAGGTCCGCGTGTTGCTCCGTTGTCGGAAAAAACTTGACCGAAATATCCCCCGACCTAAACAATCCGCGCATGAAATGAAATCTCGCGTCTATGTGTTTCGTGCGACCTGAGCTGAGGGGGTTCTGCACCAACGCTATGGCCTCGTGGTTGTCCTCAAGGACCTGGATGCTGCTACCACTGGTCTCTGGGGCAACAAACGAAAGCACAGCACGCACAAACAACGCCTCCTTGACACCCTCCCCGGCAGCAATGTATTCGGCTTCCGTCGAGTACAAAGACACGATGGTCTGCATCTTGCTACCATGGCTGACTACGGTACCTCCAACCGTCGTCGCCAACCCTGACACCGAACGCCTATCCTCCGTGTCGGCGTAGCTAGCGTCTACGTACACGGCCAGCCCTAACCCCGATCCCCGTTGGTAGGTGATGCCGAGGTACCTCGTCCCTGTCAAGTAGCCGAGGATCTTCTGGATGGCATCCCAGTGCCTCTTCGCCGGGGCATGGGCGTGGCGCACTACCGCAGGCACGGCGAATGAGACGTCTGGACGCGAGAACGTTGACACCCACACCATGCTGCCGATGGCCTCCCTCACCGGCCACTCCCCTCCCTTCTCGTTATCTCGCTTCGGTCCTAAGTCGGCACCAGGGGTAGCGGGGATGTGGGAGGTCGATTGTACATCAAAGCGTCTCACCATGCTATCAATGTACGCGGTTTGGGAGCTTCTAAGAATCCCAGCCTCTACATCTCTCTCAATGGCGCACCCGTCAAATCATTCGCATTCTCCAAGGTTTTTGGTGGGAAATTTCTTGTTGAGAGAAGCAAGCAACTCCTCGCAATCCTCGTCAGACCCAGCCACCAAAATGTCATCCACATAAATCACGATAATCATCACCACGACTTCGTCTACCATCTTGCGGAAAACACACGGGTCCGCCTTGCATTGCTCGAACCCGTTCTCGACTAGCGTATCAGCAGCGTGGTACCCCCACTGCCTACCGCTCTGCTTCAGACCGTAAATCGCACGCTCAGCCTTAACAATCTTATGCGATTTGTCGCCGCACCCAGCGGGGAGCCTCAGAAAAACCTCCTCGTCTGGCGTGGCGTGTGTGTACGCCTGCTTTACATCCCAGTGATTGAGGTTCATGCCCTTCTCGATTGCTACCGCAAGCATCAGTTTGATGGATGCGGATGATGGGCAAGGGGAAGACGAATGTGATTAATCGACGTTCGGGAATTGCGAAACCCCCTAGCAACCAGACGCGCTTTGAACTTTTCTGTCTTCCCCTCCTTGTTGGTCTTCCAACTAAAACACCACTTTGAGTTCACAGGCCTGCGCCCCTCTGGCGCACCGTCTACGNCCCAGTGATTGAGGTTCATGCCCTTCTCGATTGCTACCGCAAGCATCAGTTTGATGGATGCGGATGATGGGCAAGGGGAAGACGAATGTGATTAATCGACGTTCGGGAATTGCGAAACCCCCTAGCAACCAGACGCGCTTTGAACTTTTCTGTCTTCCCCTCCTTGTTGGTCTTCCAACTAAAACACCACTTTGAGTTCACAGGCCTGCACCCCTCTGGCGCGCCGTCTATGAATGAAAACATCCCTGTGCCCAAGTGCTCTCCAAACTCTTCCCTCATGGCCTGTTCCCACCCCTCTCTGTACACAGACTTGGCAACGCCGGCTACGGTCATGGGGGGGTTTCTACTTCACTCGGACGCTTGCCCATGGGAGATTCACTTTGCTCGTGGGATGCCAGAGCCGTCTCGAAGGCGTCTGGCGAATTGAGCATGAGGTCCACCG